TAACTTACTCTAAAAGTAGATGCTGGCTGCTTCTTGTTAGGCATCCTGTATCTTGCAAGTTCATTGACTTGAGTAATCAATCAGCTTGGGTGTGGAAGCCCGATTGGGATAGCAAGGGAATAAAGGACAGACAAAAGACACAGCAAAGCTGGGGTCATGTGGACTGTGCACGCTCTGATTGAGCGCCACCAGCTACCTCAACTCTCAGGACCCCACCTACTTTATTAGGTGAAGCACAGAGGGGAGGTGTTAGTAAGTCTTAGAGGAGTTCCCAGTAGACTGTGGTTGTCCTGGAGGAGGAAGCTGGAATTGTACACACTGGTCAGTACACAGCTGTGCTTGGACAGAGGAAGGCTTTGCCTTTCCAAACTGACCCACAGGAAGGACTTTGGCAGTTCCCCGTAGGTTCCCCTCCTTGGTCCTTCACGTGTTCAGCTCACTTCAAACAATGTGCATTCACTCAGAACGTCACTGCTCAGGACCTTGCTCTTCCTTACAATTGGTCATCTCCTTCCCCACACATTCCCAACTCAAAATGTAGTCATCACTGAATGGAATAGCTGGGGATTTTGCTAAAAATGTCCAAGACCACACATCAGAACTTTGAAATCACAATCCAGTTTTTAGGAAGGTTTTCTGGGCGATTTCCCTGTAGTGAAGAACTTTGTTGAATCATTTATTCTTCTTCAGATTCTCCCCTATCCTTTCACTTAGCCTTTTCAACCCCAGTTAACTGATGATGACTTTGCCTCTAAAACGGAAGCACCCACCACGTGCCCTTGTCCCACCCACAACTCTTGAGTACTTGAGAACGCCTGCTGGTGTCCTTCATGCCTGCTGCTCTGGGTGGAAAGCTGTGCTCCCCCGTCAAAGCTGGCCCGCCCTACCCAGCTCATCCTCCTCCTAAAGGGTGCCACAACAGTAGCCGCTCTCTTCCTCTAGGTCAGGCCCGTCCAGGCTTCCATCTCTGCTGGGTCAGCCTCAGCAGCTCTAGATGCGCTGCCTCCTCCACCATCTTAAGAACCCACCCAGCAGCAGCCTCCTCAAAAGAATCGTCCATCCTCTCTATGTCCATGCCTCCTTTCCTCTGCTCTCCTCTAACCAATCTGTCCCACATCAAGCTGCTCCTGTCCACGCTGTGAGGAACCCAATCTCCTCAGTTCGCCATTCTCAATCCTGTGTCCTCTGGTGGCAGTATTTGACGACAACGTTGGCATTTTGTTTTTGTTTTCCACGTTTGGAGCTCTTCCTCCACGCGTGTCCTCCTTTGCTCTCCTACTTCTCAGGTGCCCCCCACAAACATCATCCTGCGTCAAGTCTACAAGCCTCAGTATTGAATAATGAATTCCCAGATGGGATTCCCTTTAGATAAAAGTCAGCATCCTCTTTACACTGTATACCTCACAATGCTGATATTCCATAGAGAGTGCTGTAGTGTACAAACAGCCGTCGGTCAGCTACATTAACGGTGAAGATGGAATTTTATCTTAGGCCTCATAGCTAAGTCACGTGGGAAATGAGTTTCAGGTTACTTTTTGACAAATCTGAAACTCGGATTTTTGTTTGTTTGATTTTAAAGAATGAAATGAAGCGATGGTTTTAAAGAATGCTTTGTGTTCCAAGGATAACAATTTTAGAGTTCTTGTACGTAAGAGCAGCCATATTTTGAAAGATTAAAAGAAGTGACTTGCAGCTGGAATGGAGAGTAGTGTCTTGTTAGCACTCTTAGGAGACTGCTCTGTGATGTGCACCACTAACTCTTATGTGAGGGTTCAGGCTGTGATGCTGAATACCAGAAAATACTTAAAGTAAGGATTTACTATTAGTAAAGATTCTCATTTGAAAGGCTCTGCAGCTAAACAAAAATGCATAGTGTCACCTCATTTGTCTTGTTACAATGATTTTGAAAGAGTAATTTTGAATCATCTATTGGTACAGTGAAATTTAAAGACTCACGGATACTATAATGTGGACAACTCAACATTTGTTTTAATTAGTTTAGAAGATTATTACAATAAAATATTTGTGAGCTAGACAGATGGCTAAGTTGATATTAAAAAGATTGCTACTTTAGCGTGGGGTTGTGAGTTTGGATCTTTAGCACCCAAAGGAGAAGACGCCTGTGGTGCTCCTTACTCGCGAACACAGTCGTAGGTGGAGACCAAACGGTCCCTGGGACTCGATGTCTAGTTAGTCTAGCAGAATTGGAGTCCAGAGAAATGTTGTCTCAAAAATAAGGCGGGATATGATTGAGGAAGATACCCAGTGCAACCTTTGACCTCTACAAACCCGGGCGCATCGTACCCATATATGTGTACATGAACATATACAGAGACCAAGAATCATATAAAATTTTGTTAGACTTTCTACTTGAATCTTTAAACCAAAACACATGCATAGGGTGTTTTATTCTGTGCATTTGTAATTTTGCCTAGATAGGGGAAATTGTGTTTGCACATCATGTTTAAAATGCTGTGACTAAATCTGTGTGAGATGCAAGGGGATTGACTATTAACTTTGTAGTTTCTAAAACACTGTTAGATAGATTACATCTTGAGCTGGTTGGCAAAAGTAACAGCAGGGGAGCACACATACATTCTGTCTCTCTGACACACACACACATACAACACACACACACACACACACACATACAACAACACACACACATACAACAACACACACACATACAACAACACACACATACATTCTGTCTCTCTGACACACACACATATACAACACAACACACACACATACAACAACACACACACATACACACACACATACAACAACACACACACACATATACAACACAACACACACACACATACAACAACACAACATACATACAACAACACACACACATATACAACACACACACATACAACAACACACACATACACACACACATACATATACAACACACACACATACATTCTGTCTCTCTGACACACACACACACATACAACACAACACACACACATACAACACACACATACACACACACATACAACAACACACACACATATACAACACACACATACAACAACACACACACATACAACAACACACACACATACACACACACATACAACAACACACACACATATACAACACACACATACATTCTGTCTCTCAGACACACACACACATATACAACACAACACACACACATACAACAACACACACATATACAACACACACACATATACAACACACACATACAACAACACACACACATACACACACACATACAACAACACACACATATACAACACACACATACATTCTGTCTCTCAGACACACACACACACATACAACAACACACACACACACATACAACAACACACACACATATACAACACACACATACATTCTGTCTCTCTGACACACACACACATATACAACACAACACACACACAACAACACACACACATACAACAACACACACATACATTCTGTCTCTCTGACACACACATATACAACACAACACACACACATACAACAACACACACATATACAACACACACACATACAACAACACACACATACATTCTGTCTCTCTGACACACACACACATACAACACAACACACACACACATACAACAACACACACACATACAACAACACACACATACATTCTGTCTCTCTGACACACACACATATACAACACACACACATATACAACACAACACACATACACACACACATATACAACACACACACACACAACAACACACACACATACAACAATACACACACACATACACACACATACACACGGGCGACTAGTAATACATTTCAATTCCTATTTTCTGACTTTGAATTCAAGACTAAGGGATATATGTCATTAATGTTGTACAGTGTGTGTGTGTGTGTGTAGTCCCAAGCTTTGACAATGTGAACTGTGAGGAAAAAAAGACCTCATGATGTTTATGATTTTATGTGGACCACATTCATAGCTATCATTTATGCTTGTTTCCCAAAGCACCCGAGGACCCGTCGGCACCTCTGTCATCTCTATTAAGGGGCAACATTCTTACCTTCATTAGAAAGCTGAGTTCTCAGTGACCAAGACGAACCAGATAATGTTTCGTAGTCAATCAGAGAACCGTGTTAGGAAGGCTCTGTGGTGGAGGATGTGTGGAGCTGGGCGTCTGGAGAAAGACAAATGCATTTCTGCGTGCACTAGTGCTTAGTCAGCGTTCGTATCTGGTTACTGGACAGCCACATGGATGAGTTCTCTGTAGCTGTAAAGTTACCTCATGGTCCTGCTGCTTCCCCAATCCTCACCCCCACTCTTCCTGCCTCCCTGTACCTCTCTCACAGACCAGCACCATTTTTTCCTTTTAGTTTTATATTAATTTTATTATATATGCAGTTTTCTGCCTGTACACCAGAAGAGGGCACCAGGTCTCATTACAGGTGGTTGTGAGCCTCCATGTGGTTGCTGGGAATTGAACTCAGAACCTCTGGGAGAGCTGCCGGTGCTCTTACCCTCTGAGCCGTCTCTCCAGCCTCGATGAGTACCAATTTATATTTGTGTTGTTTCTGCAGTAAAAGACAAAAGTGTTCTGAATGGTATTTAGAAATGACTTTTTTTGTATATTTATTATTAAAAGCAGTATTTGTTTTCTGCTGCTGGGATTTTGGTTCCTCAGAGTTGGGTTTCTGTGTAGTACAGTTTTCTTTTGGCCTAAGCCATTTCTCCCATAATTTACTGTAGGGTTATTGTTTAGTAGACAAATTGTTCCCGTCATGTTTTGGTTTTGCCTTGTTTGTCTGGTAAGTACCTGGGAGCAGATTGTTGGTAACTGTATTACCCTTTACAAAAAGAGCGGTGTTATACCTTTTCCCGAAGAGCTTGCATCATGTTTCTTTGCTACAGCGAGGGCAGTCTTGACGTCCTATGCGCCCTGACACTGCCTATTGCTTTTCTCCTCTCTTGCATCTTGTTAGTTTTGTGTGTAGAACTGTCGTAATTCTAAAATCTTCTGTTTTAGGGGCTGTATTTCTTTGTAGTGTACAAGGACTAGCAGTTAGCATTGATCCAGTGTTGTACACGTGGCTCACCTATCAACCACAAAGACGAACAAGTAGACACGTGCAACAGGTGAGTGGTTCTGTTTTCATTTTAACAAACCCAGCACTTCTTCCGCTGTGTTGAGTTAGATGATGTTGATGTTGGTCATGACTCAGATTAGGTGATGCAGTTGCGACATGGAGTTAGATGCTGCAGCTGGTAGTGACTGGGTTCGATGCCACTGTTCTTATTTATGTGTTAGAATTTATTTAGGCCCCATTTTATGCCTTTCAAAGTTCTCTAATTTTATTTGTAAGAAATTGTGTTCAACATAGTTTGACTGTTGAAAGTAACTTTCTACATAGTTGCCTTTAAAGCAGAAAGATTAGCAAGACCAGTATGGGCTGTCCTAATTTACTGTTATATATCTTTGGATTTGTTTAATATACTTGCTTTGAATTTTAACCCTGACAATGTGATAGTTCATACAAAACCTGACATGGTTCTGATACATATTCATTTAAAAGGTTGTAGATTACAAAGGAAGAATGGGCCATTGTAGTTTCTATAACCATGAAATGAGATACTGTTAGGATATGTCAGTGTAACTGACAAACTGTTACTGTTCTCGTTTTAAATCAAGTGATGTCTCGGAGAGTTTTGTCTGCACTAGCAAATAGCAAAGTATTCTCCTTTTGAGGTCAGATGTATGCCATACTGTATTGAATTAATCCCTGAACACTTGTAATTTCACAGTGTTCTATTTGAGATAATTTCGCTATCATTTTCCTGTAATAAGCTAATACTATTTAGTAGGAGACAAATAAGTTATATAATCACATAAAATTATTCTGTGCAATCCAGGGAACATTTTGTTGTTGTTGCTGTTTTGGTGTTGGGTTGAACCTGTGGCCTCATCACACCGTGCACATGTTCTACGACACTCCCAGCCGCATTTCCAGCTCCTGAGCATCGTTCCTTAGAGCCTTCCCTTCCCTTTCTCTTGACTTAATTTCTATATCACGTTCTCCTGTCTTACTCTTTATTTTAACAAGTACCTGCCTGCTAGACAGCAGGGTTCTAAAAACGTTATTGCTAAATGCATCCCTCCCTCTAGGGTCTTTAGTACATTTGGGAATATCAGAGAGTACTGAAAGGGCCATTTTGGTCATGGCTGTGCCTGTATCCAATATGACTTGAAGTCAAGAGGCAATTCTCACATGCAGATGGCCCATGAGAAGAAGAGCTGATTTACAGAGCACACCCGCAGCAACGCCCGCAGAAGCTTCTTCCTTCTTGAATACTTGTGCAAAGACGGAGAAGTGATACTCATGGCATAGGGGACCCTGGCCTGGGGCAAACTGTAGGCACCAGCAAAAATTAGAACCCAGTTCTTAGAAGCTTTTGTCTGCAGTCCTCAGTGCTGTGTGTAACAGTTACGGACAGATCTGGATCCGAGAACATTGGCTGTGCTGTGGTGCTGGCTGGGTTTCTAAAGGATTGTCCCGTGCCAAACGTACTGAAGGATGGTTTCCTTCTTTGTTGTGGGGTGTGCCTGCTGTTGTGACTTCTGTCAAAGATACTGCATTTCATCCTTTCCTCTAGAATTTAGTATCACGTCTTTGTTTTCTTAGTTTTCGAATCATTCTCATTTTAATCCTTAATGTGGTTATTTTTCTCAGAGTGCTTCATTTCCTCCCAGATATGCAATTGATGGGCAGCGATTGGTGGGTCCATTGGGCCGCTGGCCTAGAGCTCAGTTCTCCTGCCCTGGTGTCCCTACGGCTGAATCACTGACATGTGCCACCATGCCTGTTTAACTATTGAAACTGTTAATTGTAGTTAACATAATCTTAACTATATTGTTATAATCAGGTATAAATATATTTGTTTTCACTTATCATTCTCTGGCCAGATTTCCATTTACCTTCGTTTTCCTGTTTCCATGATTTGTGAAACTCTGCCGTTACTGTGAGAACCACACTGCGGCCAGCCACATATACCGTTTTATACCAAACGCCACGCTTGCCACAGCTGTCACTCCTTGTTTCTCCAGCTGCCCATTCCTCCTCAGTTGTGGCCAATGCCCAGTATTTGCTGATTCCTTTCCACGCAGTTGCGCTTTGGTCTTTGACTCTGTGCGGCTTGTATTGGACGTCTCTGGCAGCAACATCAGACTTGATCTCACTGAATGAGGAAGCAGCTGCTGCATTGTGCAGCTCTGCACTCGTGGGCTCAGTGTAGACTCTTAATGCTTTCCAGTCCTCTCCAACGCTCTGTGGTGCTCCCTTAATGCTTTCCAGTCCTCTCCAACGCTCTGTGGTGCTCCCTGCTCATCACTTCAGACCCAGTAGAGTTCCCACACTTTCTTGACGTAACCTGTAGTCACCACCCACTCTCAGTAGCATTGGTTTCTACTTGTCACATTCACATCATCAATTTCAGGTTTGATTTGGTTTCCCAGTATGGTTTATAATTCTCATTACAATCTATGCTAAACTATAACCTTAAAGGTTTTCACACGGAATTCTCAGCCTTCATCTAAAAATACTGTATAGAAAATTCCAGAAATAAATCATTTGCAAGCTTTAGTTAATGGCTGTTGCAGTATTGTTGTTGTGCTCTGCTATTCTTCTTAACCTCTTATTAACTATTAATCAAATTTTACTGTATTATTTGTATTTTAAAAAGTAGTACCATTGTCTCTCGGTGTCTTTAAGAGACTGTCGGTTCCAGGAGCTAAAATGTGTTGATGCTTGAGTTCCCCGTGTGCAGTGGCAGAGTATTCCCACCCAGTCTGATCCCATCCTGACATACGCTTCAGCGTCAACAATAACGCCTAACTCTGTGTGCGTGCTGTGTGGCGTCGCCGCGCGCACCGTGTAGGGAATAAGGACACGGGGGAAGACCCTGTGACTTCAGTGCTGCTGCCTTCTGCCCTGAGTGTGCTTGATCCACAGTTGGCTGAGCTCATAGATCGGGAGCAGGCAGGGCTGGCGCTGTCCGTTGTGGAGGAAGCCCTCTAGCAGTGTTGTAATGTATTCCCTGAGTATAAATGGGGATTCCTTATACATGACAGAAAGCAGAGACAGACTAGAGATGGTAGGGTTTACAACAAAGCCCAGGCCCCAGCTTATAAAATACTGTCTTTCAGGGTGTCATCTTTGACCCTCGCTGCCTCACAGAGATAGATGGTCACTTCATTTTTGCCTTGTTTCTCTCCGCAGCCCGTGGTGGCAGTCCCCCTCGTTCCCTCGGTTAGCAGAAGGAAAGATGAGGAGCTCTCAGCTGGAAGTGCCCCGTTGGCAAAGCAGCAGTCATACCAAGCCTCAGAGTACGCCAGCAGCCCTATAAAGACAAAAACAGTCACAGGTGAGTGTCAAGGACAGATGCATCAGTTTCCCGTGTTTTTATTAAAAGATAACGTTAATCACTGAGGGAGGAAAATCAAACATTTACAATCGTATCAATAAGTTCTACATGATTAGTCATTATTCTCTATATAATATAATATAACATAACATTGCATACCATAACATAATATAATATGTTAGTTGATTATTTTCCCCTTCAAATTATTGGTATGTACTAAAGTATTGTTGTTTTTGTCTTGGAGAGGGGTTCTGTCTTTAGTTCTCCCTGCCTTTAGAACTCCCATGTTTTGTAAGTATACTTGAAGATTTTAGATGCTAAATACTATGGACACATTGTGCTATTTGTGAATTATGAATCTTCTCTCTCAGGTACCTACCACTTTTGTCTCTCTTGAGAGGCAAATACAGTAGTAATAATGTTGTTTCTTGAGAATCAATATTTTCTTAACTTAAAATTTGATTTTTTAAGCTTTTAATTAATTTACAGTGTTTCTTTTTTTTTCTTTAATTGAAAATAGATTTTTCTTAAATAATACATGCTTGTTACAGTTTCCCCTCTCTCTACTCCTCCTAATGGAATCCATTCATTTTCTCTCTTTCATTAGAAAATAGGCTTCTAAGAGTTAATAATAAAATAAGAAAGATAAACAAAAACTAACACGGTGCAATTGGACACAGCAAACATAAGGAAAAGAGTCCAAGAGAAGGCACCAGAAACTGACTCACATGTTTGCACACTTGGGAATCCCATAAAAACAGTAAACTGCGATCCACATGTATGTATGTACAGACACACAGACACACAGACACACACACACACACATACACACACTTACAGACATACACATACAGACACACACACAGACACATACACACACTCACAGACATACACATACATACTCACACACAGACACACTCACACAGTCACACATGCACACACACACATTGGCAGATACACACGCTCTCAACACGCATACACACACACAGACACACTCACACAGTCACACATGCACACACACACATTGGCAGACACACACACTCAACACACACACACACACACACACACACACACACACACACACACACACACACACACTCTAAAAGGACCTGGTGCAGACCCTTGCTGGCCCTGTGCATGCTGCTTCAGTCTCTGTGACTTCCTGTGAGATTTGCTTATGTTGGTTGAGAGGGCCTTGTGTTCTTTATGTCGACCATCCCTTCTGGATTTCCCACTCTTTCTGCCTCCCCTTGCACAAGGTTCCTTGTGCCTTGTGGGGAGGCATTGACGGAGACACCTTGTTTAGGGAAGAGTGTTCCAAAGTCTGGCTGAGGTTCCCATCTGCTGTAGGAGGAAGCTTCTCTAGTGCTGGCTGAAGAAGGCACTGATCTATGATTTATGAGTGTAGCAACATGTCATTAAGAGTCTTTTATTGCTATGTTGTTATTATCATTGTTGTTATTGGGACAGTAGTGTTTGGTTTTACCCTAAGTTGCTGGGCTATCCAGACTCTGGTTCTTGCTCACACAAGCAGTGTTGGCTATGGGTTCCCGTCTCAAGGACATGGCCTTAACACACACTACACATATTAGTGTGTGTAGTCATCACTTTTATTTATGTTGCAGAATAAATTACTGAATTTGGAAAGTTATTTAGAATTTATGGTCATTTCCACATATCTGCCATTTTTAATTGCCTTGTACAAACAAGAAATGATCTCCCTGCCTCTTGTTTTTCTTTTTAATGAGTTTTTCTGTTGTCAAGGCAAGGCTCAACTTCAAACCATCCTCTTGCTTCAGTCACCTGAACTACAGGTGCATACCACAACTTGAAGACGCATCCCTCAGTTATTATTAGAGTTGTTATTTCTGCATTCTTAGCCACTGATGCAATGCTGATCCTAAGTTTGTCTCTGATGAAATTGTGTAACAATTTAGTTGGCGATGACCAAAGCATGGTGATTCCAAAGCAGTAGTTTGGTTTGGCTTTTCATTTTCAACCAGAAGCAGCCTGTGTCTTCTTTTATTCCCGTGTCAGCAGTGTTAGCGCCAGGCTGCAGGGCACGTGCTACAAGGCTGGGGTGTGTCTCCAGCCCCCAGCACAGGATATTCTCCACTCCAGCAATGTCTGTGTCCTCCTACTCTAGAATCCCTAATGGCATGACGGATGCATTTGCCCGGTGTTTAGGAAATGAGGAAATAGCTACCGTGAACACAAAAAGACAATGCTGTGCAGTTGTTAATTAGAATTTTATTATCTTAGTTATGATGTCAAAAATAAAAACAGGCAGTAGGAAAGAAATCAGTCAATAAGAACACACGGAGAAACATGGGAGAACTGAAGGCAACTGGGATTTAACTTTAGAAAAAAATGACATCTCCCACTGAGGTAAGGATACAAAGGATACATATCGTCAGCTTAGCTATCATTCAGTTTGCAAACAAATACTTGTGTAGCCTAAATACTGGGGTCTTCTTGACCTATTATGGGGGGTGTGACATTAGTTCATGAGGGTGTAAGCCCTTTACTTTTCACATACAGGAAGTTCTTCTCTGAAGGCCAAATATGGCATCTTTCCTTCTGTTTTTCTTTCTATTTCACTGTTTCAACATGTTCTGAAGTCTGCATTCTCTTAAATAACAAAGCAATCATTCTAGTCATAGGCAGTGCACTTTCAAAGGACAATTTTCACTGGTGAGATGACCAATTTCTGTTAGTAATGTTAATTCCAAGGCATTCACTTCCTGACTATCTAATTTTAATAACTTGATTAAAAGCAAAGTCAGTGACACCAGTCCAGTCAGTACCCATCAGGAACAATGCATCTCAAAGTCCTCAGGCTGTCCTCAATTTGGTTGAGTTTGCATTTGAACATGTATGTTCCTAATTTTAGTGTGGAATTAGTATTACGCATTAAAAACTCCATTTTTGTGGATTTATGCATTTTAGAAGTTACTTGCTTTAATCATGCAGTTTAGCTTAAAGTCCCATTCTTTTGTAATTAATTAGGTGTTTAATTTCATTGGAAAATATTAAAAAATTGAAGATAGAGGCACTAATGTGTTATATGCAATTGTTTTTAGTCTTTGAGATAAAATGTAGTTGAAAAACATTTCTGCCTTAGACTAGAAAAAGATTGTGTTTGAAGAATTTTCTACTGGGATAAAGACAGAGACCCTGTCCCTCTGTAGATGACAATGACAGTCCAAAGTCCCGTTTCACCAACATCCACTCTGGACATACAGTTTGTCGGGCTTACGGGGCATGGAGACTCTGAAGCAGCTTCCCTGAGAAGTTGCACCCCCCCCCCATGGTGACGACTCCTGCATGGTTGCATAGATGGTGCTCAGTCCTATTCTTTCCCAGCCTAGTTTCTCTGACTCATCCCAGAGAACCCCTGAGGCCCCTTGTAATTAGGGCAGAATTGCATCCAACTGTTGAGAGGACTGGTTGGAAGCTCCTTAGAGGAGAGTCCCACGACACTCCCTGCTGCTCCTCCTATGAGGGAACATCAACAGCCAATCAGCCCAGTTGTAATGCTCGTTTGGAAGTAGCTTAGCTGAACATATGAGGATGGTGACTCTGGCTTGGAGATAGTGTTCTGTACAACAGATTCAAAGTTACATCAATGATTTCTGACACAGCACATTTAATGTTAAGACAACATGAAAACATTGGTGAAGTCAGTAGAAAACTCAGTCTAAACTGGGTTTATCAATGTGATTTTCTCCATTTGTAAATTATAAGGCAATTATTTTTATTTCTGAGTCAAATATGCTCCAGTGAGGCACTGACCTATGTGTATAATAGAATGATCTCAGGACACCTTTTTTCAGTTTAGTTTATTACATTTTGGAAAAGTCTGCTGAAACTAAGCTAAGGAATTTTCATCTTCCAAATACAAGATGTATATTGCAGCCTAATGGCAAAGGACTGCCTTTTTTCTTTTTTAAAGATAAATTAAGTTTATCTTTAGACTTTGTGTTTGGATATGTCTTTTTTCCTATGTCTCTGTTTTTAGGTTTTACTTTTATTATTTAATTATGTGTATATCTGTGTGGGGGATGACATAGATTCTTCTTTTTGGGTCACCAACTCACAAAATATGACACAGAGGCATAATTATTGCTAATTATGAAAACTCGGCCTTAGCCTAAGCTTGTTTCTGACTAGCTGTTATAACTTAAATTATCCCATATTTGAAAACCTACATTCTTCCACGCTCTCATTACCTCATCTCCATCATGCCCATCCTAGTTATTCCGCCTCTGGCTGGTGGCTCCTCCTTTCTTCTTCCCAGAGTCCGCTCTCTCCCCAGAAGTCCCACCTTAACCTCTTCCTGTTCAGCTAGTGGCCATTCAGCTCTTTATTAAATAATCACAGTGACACATCGTCACAAAGAGTAAAGGAATATTCCACAACAGGACGATATGTGCACGTGGATGTAGGTGTCCATCTAGACATCCAGATCTCCCCAGAGTTGGAGTTCCAGGTAATTGTGAGCTATACAGTGTGGGTGCCTGTGACAGAACTCAGGTCTTCAGTGAGAGCAGCACCTGCTGTTAACCACTGACATCTCTCTGGCACCACAGGAATCCCTTAAAGGGGTGCATGCACAGTGTGACAGTGTAGTTGCAGTAGTAAAGCCCCTTAGCCATATATACACCAGTAAGATAAATTGTGATTATCTGAGGCAGATGAAGAGCTGAAGGTTGCTTGCCTTTTTCTTCTTGTAAGGTGTTCATTCTTCCTGCAGTGCACGGATGATCATGTGTCGTCTCCTTAGGCAGTTCCCCTGGGCATTTTTGTAGCTACATTTAGAGACTGCAGTTACAAGTGGACTGCATTGCTCATTGAACATTTCCCTGGGTTCTGGGGATTCACATCGTCTTCCTTCCTTCCTTCCTTCCTCCCTCCCTCCCTCCCTTCTTTCTCTCCTCCCTCCCTCCCTCCCTCCCTCCCTCCCTCCCTCCCTCCCTCCCTCCCTCCCTCCCTCCCTC